GTAAACATTTTCGTAATTAGTTAAGAACATTACATGAAAACTAAATTAAGAATGCAAAAATAAATATTAATCGCTGCAAAATTTTTTTATCTATAAATTTTGATGCAAGATGTACGAGTAAGATGAAAATAATTTGAATAATATTAAAACAAAGCATAATATTTGTTGGGACTAGACAGCATGTGATTCTCAGACGAGAATTACAGCACTTTACAGAGCGATTACACCGAATCTCATTAGCATTTCCTAAAAATTAGTCTGAATTATACTTTCCTGCATATAAACTATACTAATCACAGTTCTGTTTGAATTAAATAAAATTCGAAATTTTTAATTTCGCTTAGTTTAATTGACTCGACACTGTATAAATTGTTTTAAATTTATGCATTTTTTCATAATTCATCCATTTTTTGAAATTCGTAACTGTAATTGTTCAGTTTATAAAGCATTTTTTAAATTCCTATTAATACGTCACAGTGCCACATTGTACTATGTAGCACTGAATACACGAAGCTCTTCCAAAATCTATGTGTTTCTTTATTTCAGAATTAAGCTAATTATGGAATGCTATTTCACTTCTCCGTTTGAAATTTTCTGTTCTTATAGTTTTCTGCAATTTTTTAAATTCGTATTTACTGCGTCACAGTGCTATATTGTACTACGCAATACTGAATAGATGAAGCTCCTCCAAAATCTATGTGTTTCTTTATTTTAGAATTAAAATAATTATAGAATACCATTTCAATTCTTTTTTAAAATGTTCTATTCTTGCAGTTGTCTGCAGTTTTTTAAAATTCGTATTTATTGCGTCATAGTGCTATATTGTACTATGCAACACTGAATACATGAAGCTCCTCCGAAATCTATGTGTTTCTTGATTCTAGAATAAAATTTATTCAAGAATACTGATTCAATTCTTTTTTTTTTTTTTTTTTTTTGATTTTGANTTTTTTTTTTTTTTTTTTTTTTTTTTTTTTTTTTTTGAAATTTTCTGTTCTTGCAGTTTTCTGCAATTTTTTAAAATTCGTATTTACTGCGTCATAGTGCTATATTGTACTATGCAATACTGAATACATGAAGATCCTCCGAAAGATTCCCTTCCCACCAAATTATTTACATAGAAAATCATTTGAGTTATGTTACTAATGATGCATTTAAGACTTCCTTAGTTATAGAGTAAATTTAATGACGTAGTAAGAGATAACAGAATAAATTCTTTTTTTATGTATAGAATCTTTAATGATAAAAAAAACACTTTAAAAAAATAATTTTTTTCCAATCACAAGTAGTTTACTAAAGATAATGTGAAGGTAAACAAAACGATAATATCTACTTGAAAAAAATTTACATATTGTTACAGCAGATAAAGGGTTATAGCCTATTTTTTAATTATCGGAAGAAATGCACCCTTTGGACTCTCAGAAAGGGGTCGGTATTAGAAAAAGTAACGAAATTGTAGATTAAAAATTGTTGCTTAATTATTTGACGTTATTGCTTGATGGTGTATAAAATCATTTGTCTTGTTAAAATAAAAATTTTTTGGAGGCACAAAATATATTATATATTTTTATAAATAAAAATTTGCGCATTTAGATTTACCAATGCCTTAAGTCTGTTTTTTAAAGTTTTTTTTTCTTATTTCATTTGTTTATATTCTCTTTTTTGCGGCAGACTTGGTCTGTCGTATGATTTGATTTCGTTACAGTATTAAAATTTTACATGGTCATTTATATAGGCTCTTTGCAGTGCAGTTATTACAAAACAATTTCACTTTTGATCTAATGATCGGATTTTCGCGTTCTAGAACTCAATCTTAATGGTTCGAGAGGGTGACCTCAACTAGACTGATCAATTAGTGCTGATGATATTTTAAATTACGAAATTAAGCACAAAAATGTACTTTATCTGAACAAACATACTTTTTTTCGACGGATTTGGATTTTTGACCCTCAAAATGTAGGGGGTAGCAACAGTCTTGGGGATATTGGCCCAATAGTTTAGTCAAGAGAGCGGTCTAAAATTTGGACCCCTTAATGATAATTTTTAGTCGAATTGTTAGCGAATTAAAAAGAAATTTACACACAATTATAAAATTCGTTCATCCAACGATAAATAAATGCAAAATATGACTCTTAGTATAGATTCATTATTTTTTTTAATAATAAATTTCTAAATATCAAAATTAAAAATAATTGAGTAAAATCGGTCGAATAGTCTCTGTGAAATTGAATTTCAAAAAAGTTGTATTTTTAAAATTCTTTTTCTCAAGAACTTTTTGACCGATTGTGCTCAAATTTTGCACAAAAAAATCTTTATAATTATGTAAAAAATGTTATACTTTATAATTTTAGAAACTATAACTTTCTTGAGAACCAAAGTAATTCGAATAAATTAAATTATAGGGTATCTTCATTTAGCTAAAAAATTTTCCCTTTATGGTCGTAAAGCCTATGAAGAAATCAGACTTAATTGAGAAAAAAAAGATAATCGTTAAGGGTTAGTAAAAGTTTCATCTTAATTAATTATTACATATTTGTGTCGTAATAGTGATAATGCACTGATCGGTTAATACCCTTCAAGCGGAACTGATAAAAAACATTTAATCATTATAAACAATTATCAGTATTTTTCTTTGTTGTTATCTCGCTTCAAAATCCTTTTTATTTCTTATTTGTTTTTTATTGGGTCGAGGTTATAGAGTTGAAGCGCGTGTTTGTTAGTGATAAGTCCTTTAAATTTCAGAAATTAATAAAGTATAATTGCTTTCTAGAAAATTGGAAGCAAATTACCTGAAGTGTAAAGTTTAAAATTAAATTGCTTTTATTTGATTTCCCAGCTGAAACTCCATAAATATAGTCAATGCTATTTTTTATTGATTTTTTAGGGTAAACGAATGCTCTATAATTAAGAATAAGAGATTAAAATATACTAGGAGGCTTCGCCCCCTGCTCGCTGGCGCTCGCCAACCCCCGAAACTGCTTTCGCAGTTCTTTTCGGATTGCTTCGCAATCCGATGCTCGCTTTGCTCGCTCATTGGATACGTTCTTAACGTCTAGCTTTTGTGTACTTTTTTGAACACTGAAGTTCCGAAAACTTATCAGTGTAGAAAATTCTAAACCTGTGCATTCAATATTAATTTGAAATTGCAAACAGTTTGCATATTTTTCTTAATCACACTATTCTAAATTTCAGTTGCTGTGAAAAGTAACTGTTGTAAGTTTTGTTTTAAAGTCTTTCCCACCAGAGGGCTAAAACCATGTGTTGTAAAGCAATATGAAATAGTACTGATGTAAAGCATCGGCTTCGATGAAGATAATTTTGTGAGAATTTTTTTGATAATTCGGTGAGAATTCACCCGATTAGATATATGATGCTTACTACGTGCTCTTGCGCGCCGAATCCAATCAATTAAAAATGAGAACTGTTGCCAACGCGAGAAAAGAAATATCATCGGTTTGATTGATACATACGTACGTATTAGCGTTTTATATAATAAGATTTTTTCTCTTCAGAAAAACCATACATTTTGAATTACACAATTTTTAAATTTATCTTCTTAGTTATATTTCTTAATTTAATAAAAAGTGTTACTGCTGAAATTACTTAAAAATATAATTTTGATGTTAATTATGCACCTAACTAAGCAATATGAACTAATACGTTTGTAGTGAAATAGTTAAGACCTTAGAAATTCAGGTTTAAATTATTCTGCACTTATGTTAATTTATGATATAAAATATCGTAAGTAATTTTAAGCAATTTTTTTAAAATTTTATTTATGTACTCATTTTTCAATTTTTATCTGTATTATACCATTTGAATCCAAGATATAAAATAGTAATATTACTTAAAAATTAGTCAGCTTTAAATTTTTGGTGTACTTCGTTCAAAAAAAGTAACATTCTGAATAACTTAACCCTTTGACCGAAAATATTCAAAAAAATATTTTTCATATTTTTTTTAATTATTTTGTATAAAATATGTCACAATAAGTAAAAAATATTATAGTTAGCATTTTTAAAATATATGGTTATGAAATACACCATGAAACACCGGTGTATTTTATTGCGTATAAGATACACGGCTTACTTCCAAACTGCGTCTTCCAAACATGGCTCACTTCCAAACAAAAATTTTTCTAATTTCAACTTATTTGGAGTTAGTTAGATATAAAAGAAATAGTTATTCATCGTTAAAAGAAATTTCAATTTACTAAATCAATTACATTGATTAATTTTTGACCATGAATGAAAAAAAAATTCTAACTACTTTTATTGGATTTTATATTTTAGTGCGAATGTAATTCCGAAAATCTTACAGATTTTTTAGTAACTATTACACTGATTCATCGTTAAAAAATAAAAAATTTTATTTGTAATTAAAGCGTCAAAGAAAAATATATAAAAAGGGCACCGGTGTCCCATTTACGTCAATAGGTTAACTTGCTACCTGTAATAATGAGAAATTTAACTATAAACAACACCATAGATAACCTCTTGAAACACTCTCTTTAAACGCTCCGTTGACACCGAAGCTCGTGATTATGATCACTCTTATTCCATCTTATAAATAAATCATGCAATAACTATTTTCATGAAATTTTTTTCTTAAATTAAATCAATTATTAATTTACTTAATATTTTTAAAATGTAGTAGTAATGAATTTATAATATGATAGTAACGAATGACTATCTTATTTTAAATTCATTATTACTACATTTAAGATTTTTGGAGAAAAAAAAACTACCTTAAGCGTTAATATGATAAAAAAAGGGAGGATAATGGAAGAATTACAAGTTTAAGATCAGAATATAATGCAATAAAAGTTTCAAAGTTTGTGAGCGTACTGAATCGTTTCATTTTACTTTAAAAATATGATAGAAATGTTATTTGCGTTCAATATTGTCAATTCATAATCAACTATTGAAATTGGAATTAATCCTCTGTATAAAAAAGAAGTCAAAGCATTCTAATCCTAAAATACTCTAATTTATTTTCAGTCTCAATTTGTGCAGGACGGAACTAACTGTGAACAACTGACCCTTGATACACAAACTATCACTTACACTAGTTTGGGAAATTTATTATCTCGAATCTTCAACATTAAAGGGTAAGTTTGTTACACTATGCTGTTTTCACTTGAAAGAAAAGAAAAATGGAAAAAAGCTTACATTTATTAAACAATTTTATTTCAAAAATAAACTGGTTTTCTGACCTTAAAATTTCAATGCAACAAATACACTATGCATGTATAACTCTTCTTTATTTTTGCTAAAGTTCCTATACTGTGCAATATTTCGTTTCTTTTTTTCTCTTTTCTTCATCTCTTATTCCTCATTTTCAGTATTTCCCTTCAATCATTATTAATTACTGCTTCGCCAATACAAATTTACTTAGCTGCTTTCATTTCTGAAGAAAAATCCTTGGATTTCATTTATGCGATGAGGCCACTTTCGCCATAAAATGAAGCATTTCCCACACCTGCTGTTCTATGTGATTCATCTCAATAAAACCGTTTTACTGCCATTTTATTTACATATGATTACTACACGTGTCGCACAAATCCTTGATTGAACCCTTGAACGAAATTAATGTCCAATATTTCCTAGAATGTATAAATATTTTCTGGGTAGATTGCATTAGATTCGTTAATGTGATGATCTAACATTAGTTGCTCCCATCGAACTTAGCTGCTCCAACTTGCTGTTGTCAGGCACTTATGCACACAATTGCTTCAAATTTGCACTTTTCAAATTTATCCTCTATGTGTTTGAACCATTTGAATATTTGGTGAATATTTTTTGGAAAAGTTCCGTAACGCTTTTTCATCTTTCTTGAAAATTGTCCCCAACTTGCAACTTGATGTAGTCAAGCACTTATGCACAAAGTATGTTCAAATCTGGACTCTTCAAATTTATCCTATATGTATTTGAACCAGCTACGAGGTGAATATTTTTCGGAAATGTTCCGTGGTTCTTTTTCATCTTGTTTAAAAATGGTCTCCGTAAATCAAACTATACTTAAAAAAATTTATAAAATAAATAAATAAGTGAATTGGTATTTATGTTTAAATTTACTAAATGATCTATGTTGTTTAAAATTTAATGACTATTAGAGTTAGTTTATTGATCCTCTAAACGGCGAAAAAATATAAAAGTGTACCTACAGAATTGAAAACATTGCTGCTTCGAATTGCATCACATCCAATGAAATTGCAAAACACCCTTTTACACCATTAAAATATCATATATTTTAAAAAATATTACATATTATGTATGAAAAAATATATATAATACAGAAAAATAATATAATTTGTTCTAACATTAATTCATATTAATTATCAGTCTATAAAAGTAAAACAAATTCAGTTTTTATACTATATACACATGCTTAATAGTTAAATTTTGCTACTACTTTCTGATGATAAAAATCGGAGACTGTTTTTAAAGATAGCAAATTTTTTTCATTCAATTTCACTCTTATTAAAAAGATAATAAATAAATGTTTACCTGTAACTGTACGTAATAATTGGATTACTGTATAGTACATAAGAAAGTGTTTCCAAAAGTTAGCATATATTATATCGGTATTGATTTTAAAATTAACAAACTCTTCAGATAATTACATACTTGATTGGCAAGCACTAATTCCCTAACACAGTATTGCCTCATTTTTTTAAATTTCGTTTTTGCGTCATACTTAGTTTATGCCATCTTTTAAGTTTGGTACAACATATTTGTGTTATGTCTTCGTGCTGCTAAATAATCCTTTCAATAAATTTGAAATCAGTAACTACAATCTTTACGTGGGGAATAATTAAAATTATATTTTTAAAGAATATAAATTTTATTTTTTAACCTGAAAAATTAATTTCAATTATTTATTTTATAGTTATTACGATAATAATAGTTTTCTTATTCTATCAAAATAATTTAACTGGGCATTTTAATCAGCTGTTTGTAGTAAAAAATTGCATTTTTTTTTCTTAAATTAGTATTGCAAATAATTCCTTAATGGCAAATGATTTTTTAAAATAGTTAAATAGAACACAAGTAATAATATTGAACAAATATTCTATAATACAAAATAGAAAGTGTACTAAGACGTAAAATTTAGAGAACCTAACAAAAATAAATGATGTTAATTACTTTATTTCAAAACTGCGCTTAAACGTTCATGGTTCCAGTGAAAGTAATTTCTCAACTTCAGATAAAATCAAAATTTTTTTTCTTGTTTCTTCAGGGAGTTCACGGTCAGTTTCAAAAAGGACAAGGTATACATTCCTCTGACATCTGACTGGGATTTGGATGGAGCAATTTCTGAAGCCTCAAAGCCTTATTTATCTTTAGCAATAGAACTGCAACCCATAGATAAAAGTAAGAGTCCCATCTATCATTTGCTTTTTTCCCCCCTTTTGAAAAATGTCATTTGTGCTCAAGAAAAGCTAAATCCTTTCTAAGATGAATTGTAAAGCTTTTTGATGTTATTTCCCCCCCCCCTTCAATTGAAATTTCAAAATAGGAGTTTTTTTTTCTCTTTTAACACATAGTGTGATAAATACCTTTATTTCGAATTTTTAAACACATTAGATTTAATTTATTTCATTTTTTTAAAATTAATTTAAAGTTAAATATTTCCAGATTAAAAACTGGAAAAAACACGGAATAATCAATTTTTTAAAGGTTGAGGGACTTTATTTTATACGATCGGGTAGTTTTTTTTAAAGTTCTTTATTGCAAATTAATTTTTAATCATTCTAGTTGAATGCACAAATTTTGAAGTGAATATATATATAAATTTTTTTTGGTATGTAGTTTTAGTAAGATAAATATATCAATCTTTGCAAAATTTCGAGCACAATTTTTTAGACAATTACGGGAATTCGCCGAAAAATCTGGAAAATTCAGAAAAACGCTACTACATCTAGAAAATGCTTTAATTCACTGGCCAAAAAGCTTATCTGGGAAAAATATTGTCGCTTTTACTTAGCACATATCTACAAAAAGTAAAATTTTCTTAAGATTAAGAAATTTATTTTTTGCCATGTTTTATTATTGTGTTAATAAAAAAATTATTGCGCTTATCAATGTTTGCTAGAATTTAAACTTTATCATAATTAAGTAATAACTTATTTTTAATTTAATAATTTTCCTAAACTACAGAGTAATCTTTTTTCGCTTCTTTTTCTGTACTCAAACAATTTTTAATCAGATATTATTTTTAACTAGACGATATGATTGTTTTAATAATCAAAGTAACGTCTAGGAATATAATCTGCATAATCCTTCTGTCTATCTTGCATGCCTGTTATGTAACCGAAATAAGTAGTTAGCAGAATTAATTGTAGTTAAGATAAAGAACGATCTATAAAAAAATGTAAATCCTTGCGTATAAAAGTAAGTTTAGATGGTGCAATGAAGTCAATTATTTGCAATAAAAATGGTGGAATAAAGTTAATTAATAATTTATGATAAAAAACCTCGTTAGGAATTAATCGTATTTTGTTGTTTTATTTTGTTAAAAATGGAAATGTATATAAGAATAAAAACAAAATAAAACAACCCTGTATTTTTTTTTAAAAAAATGCATGGAATTATCATGAGATATTTTGAAAGATATTCAGTATGTTTAGCATAAAATATCTAAAGATATGTTTATTATTCAGTTGATTAGCTTTTTTGTTCTATGATTTATCGCAAAAAATAACCGTTAACTCCTAAAAAGTTTGGTTCTTGAAAAATTACTAATTAAATGAAATATAGAAGAAGCTATGAATTAATTAGTCAAAAGTATTTTTATAGCCGTTGTTAAACAGCCGACCCAAATTTGGTTTTACGACTACCAAAGTTCAACTCCGTAGCCTTGTAATTTTGAACCCAAACCAGAAGACAAGGAACTCCTGAATCAAGCATTGGGAGAAATTTGCTTTCATGGAGGACTTTTTGATGGAACCAACCCGCATTTGCGTTACATAGAGAGAAAGACCACGAGAACCTCCCACAGTTAGCAATAGGCAATTTTATTAATTCATTAAACATATTTAAATAACCGTTGCACAATTAAGTTTAATACATTTTCTCTTATTTTTTAATCTATAATTAGTACTATGTTTTTATTCAATAATTAGTAGTATAATTTTATTCTATAATTAGCACTTTATTTTTAATCTATAATTAGTGCTATATTTTTATTCTGTATAAATCGTAAAATTTTATTTACTCATTAATGTTTTGTAGATTTAGAGGAGTGGGACATCATTTGTCCGGCAGATATTCCAGCAATGGGACAGGATGCGAACCGGTGTTGCGAGGATAGGAAGAGTCTTGCAGGATCCATTCTTAGTCAGGTGCGAAAATTTTTACTAAACGAATGCAATNAGAACCTCCCACAGTTAGCAATAAGCGATTTTATTAATTCATTAAACATATTTAAATAACCGTTGCACAATTAAGCTTAATACTTCTTCTCTTGTTTTTTTAATCTATAATTAGTACCATATTTTTGTTCTATAATTAGCACTATAATTTAATTCTGTAATTAGCACTTTATTTTTATTCTATAATTAGTGCTATATTTTTATTCTGTAATTATAAATCGTAAAATTTTATTTACTCATTAATGCTTTGTAGATTTAGAGGAGTGGGACATCATTTGTCCGGCAGATATTCCAGCAATGGGACAGGATGCGAACCGGTGTTGCGAGGATAGGAAGAGTCTTGCAGGATCCATTCTTAGTCAGGTGCGAAAATTTTTACTAAATGAATGCAATTTCAAAAAAATAACATTTTTAAAAGCTAAAATTTGAAGAAAAATTTTAATATTTTGTTTTTGATTGTAAAATTGAATATCTATAAGTTATGGATTGATGGTTACGGATAAAATGAAAAGCGTATGAAACATATTGCAAATAACACATTTCTAAAATGAGATAAACAAATATGTATGTTCACTTACTAAAAAGTAAAATTGCGCCTTTTTAAGTTCTTCTTTCAGTTAGATCAGGCAAAGGCAAAATCGCTAGCTAATTCAAATAAGCAACAAAACGTAAAGTCAAAGCGAGAAAGACGTCTGTCTCTGTTGCGAGACTATCAGAGAGTTTAATATTCTGTCCTTAATTAAAATAAAAAATTTGATTTCATTTTACAAAAGAAAGCATAACACTTTTAGTTACACAAGTTGTTCCATCATATCGTCATAGTAACCTAAAATTCACATAGTTTTCCTTTGAAATTAAAATGAGATATACTCTAGCTTATAGCTCACACACAAATAAATAAATGAAGTCTATTGTTAACAGTCTCTACGAACTGGTATGTTGCCACTCACCGAACAATGTTTGAGAAAAAATAATTCACGTATCGCTTAAATATCTGCAACTTCAGTTAGATATAACGCAAAAAGCAAATATTTGACTCGAACTGAGTTATTGAACTCAAGTTAAGTTCGAAATATTTCATTCTTTTAATTCTGTGAAATTAACTCATTCATTTTAAGAGCTTAAGCCCGTTAATTTTAAAATACCAATAACAGTTCCAAAAGCAATATGTTATTTACTACAGAAACTACTTAAATATAACACTATTTTTAAATTGTTACTTAACTCAGACATTCGCGATTCCCTTAAAGTGAAATTTTTCTCTCTTTATTATAGATGGAAACTGCCTTCAACCGAGTCCAACGAGCTTTCAGTGTCGATTCGTCTATCGAATCGTTAGGAAGGCCTCCAATGGATGAAAGGGAATTTAGAAGTTTCCTAGACAGTGAAGGAAGGGTAGTCAACCATCGAGATCTTCACATGGCTGTATATAGAGGAGGACTAGAATCATCATTAAGACCTGAAGTTTGGCCACACTTGTTGAATGTGTATCCTCATGGTCTCACAACAGAAGAGAGAAATGTATACATGAATTCAAAATGTGAGCAATACTACAACTTGAGATTTCGCTGGCAGCATCTTATGCAAGCTGGTAAGTTCACTAAAGAAATACAGATGTTGTTCCGAAAGACTTTATGTATATACTATAATTTAGTTTACTTTATTAAATATATTGTAAAATAGACATTTTAAACTAATCTTGTAACTATTTGCAAAGAGGTTTGCTTCTGATTTTGTCATAAATATACCATATAATTAAAAAAATACCTTTTAAGATACTCGGTAACGTTTAATGATTTTGTGTAAACTAGCTTTAAAGTTTATACGCTGGCAATAGCAAATAAATATTATACCTTATCTTTATATCTTGTCCGCAAGTTTCCAATTAGCAAGTCTTTAAATTCCTGACACTAGTTCAGACTTCTCACAACTTAAGCGTTTAAATTTGCTGCCAAAAGATAAGTAACTCGTTGTCTGTTTGTTGCCAAATGCACTCGAAATCTTTATTCCCTTCAAAAAAGCTCAAAGATTGCCATTTAGTACCTTCATCAACTGAAATGTGTGGCGTTTAAAGAATTGGTGAATAAATTAGTGGTGTTTATGTAAATACAACGATAAGATCTCTCGAGAAATCTAAATTTTTTAAAATGCCTCCTAGAACTTTTCTCCTCAAAGCGCTTCAATTATTTCTTTGCAGTTTGTAATATTAGAAACATTTTATAAAACATATAGTATTAAATAAATTACAGTAATTTCTTCTCCTTATTTTTTCCCGTGGCTTAGTTTACGGTATTCTTTAATCAATTTACTTATGGTTCATAATATCCTTTACATTTGGCGCAATATAAGCGATTCTGGTTTTTGAGCAATTAAACTTAATATTCAATTTACGGTTTCACTTAGGTAAACGTAGATATCGTGACCTCAAGCACCACCAGTAATCTTGTCTTCCCTTCCTAAACTCCCCTTCAGTAATCAGCTTATAACATTTATGGATTTCGTTCACGCAATAACTTTCAAAATCAAAGCAGTATAGTTTATTTGGCTTTAATTACGAATTAAACAATTTGAATGCAGAAAAACTAATTTTGGTTATCTGAAAAAGTGCTCCGTGTTGCATCTCATCATACTGTATAGATTTACTTCCGTTGTTTAGTGGTTAACATAGTTTTTCTTCTATACAGGAACTATTCCAGAAGTTCTACAAGACATTACAACCATGGTACGAAAAGATGTTAGAAGGACTGACAGAAATGAAAAATTTTACTCTGGATCTGATGACAACGACAATGTCAAAGCACTTTTTAACATTCTTACAACATATGCCGTTAACCACCCTAATGTTTCTTATTGCCAAGGCATGAGTGATTTGCTCTCCCCAATATTATACATCATGCAAAAGGAATCGGTTGCTTATGTCTGCTTCTGTGCCCTTATGAAGAGAACGCATACAAACTTCAGGTTGGATGGCCGATCCATGAAAATTAAATTTCGCCACCTGCAAAAGATGCTTAGGTTTTATGACCAAGAACTGTATTTGTTTCTAAAAGACCAAGAGGCTCTGGATCTCCTGTTCTGCTATCGCTGGCTGCTCTTAGAATTAAAACGTGAATTTCCATACAATGATATGTTGAACATGATGGAAATCGTTTGGGCTTCCTTACCACCAAGACCGCCTCATAATGAACTGGATATATATGATGTTAAATTTCCAACAGCTGCCATTTGTAGCACTATACAAGATAAAATGAATTGCGAAGAATATGTAAAGTTAGACGAAGATTACTTCGCGTTATCTAAGAACTCTTACTCACAATCCTTTTTTAGCAACACTATTGATAAAAAAGTAAAAAAATGGGAACGCCGCGTCAGGCGGGAATCCATGGCCAGAAGCAAAGAAAGCGATGGTTCGAGTGAAGAGGAAATTCGGATACCCGTGCACTACAGAAAAAGAAAGTATCGCTCCTACATCGTCGGTAAACTTAACAGAGTAAACTTAACAGATGTGAAGAATTCAGAGTTTTCTATCAAATCTTGCAAAATTCCGGCCCGGAAAAACTCTATTATTCCAGGAATCTGCCAAAGCTGGACTTGTGGCGAATTTGAGGAAAACAGAGAAGTGACCGAAGCTCTGTGTGATGCCAGGGAATTTTTAAGGGTCCAGTGGTGCTACTCGAATACCATTAATGAAATACAATTGAATAACTGGTTGAACGGAAAGAATTTTGAAATTACACAGTGTGCCATTAACAACAAAGGTACTGATACTATCATAAACGATGCTAAGACGCGTCAGAGACACGGCAGCAATGATTCCAATTATGGCACTATTTCTGACGACTTGTCCGATACTGAAGATATCTCAGAAAAGGGTTCACCACCCCTTCCACGTAGGACTCCAAGCGATGGATACCAATCTGATGAAGAATGCAAGGAAATCATTCTAGCTGATGACGAAGATGATGAGTATGATGATTATGAGGATTACTCTGATGAAGATGATGACAACGATTTCTTGGACTCGATGGCTGGAAAGCAATACTTGGAGGTACAGACGTACTTTGACCGAAAAAGAGATATGTTACCACCTCCTCATGAATTGGGAGATGGCAACCCATATTTGCTGTTTCTTTGTCTCTCCATGATACAGTCCCATAGAGAAGAGATTTTAAAGAAAAATTTTGATTTTAATGAACTGGGTATATATTTCGACAAGCTTGTTAGGAAGCACAGATTATCGAAAGTAGTCAGCAAATCACAGAAAATGTTCAGAGATTATTTAAGTATGGGTTGGGATGTTGAAGACAAGGGTGTTCGCAGTTGTGAACCTGATAAAAAACCTGTTGTACCCTGATGATATTGAGTATTTGATTCTGCTTGACCTTAACCTTTTTTTTTGGAACATGTTTTGCCAAAGTACGATCTAGAAATAGTTCTGAGGTTTGAAAATGAAAAAGATTTCAAAAAAATTTAGTTTTGTAACTTTGAAAAACAAAAGTGATTAAGTTTCCGTTAAAAACTCTTCTTTAATAATTATAATATGCCTGTGTGAATGATTTAGTCGAATTTTACTATCAAGTAATGATTCTGTATTTTCAGCTATATGTGCAGCAAAAATCATTAATCTCATTTTTGTCGGGAGGATTTTTATCTACTATATTATCGTCAAGTTCTGAATACATTGTGATAAATTCTGTATAATTTGTACATATGTGATTTTTAACTATACATTCCAGATTGTGTTAAACTGTTGACACATGAATCCATGTTTTTCTTTTAATTTTTGAGTGATAAAATACAAATGTGATAATGTCCATGAATTGCTAGTAAAATAAATCAATTTCATGTTGTTGAATCTTTTCACTGAATTACCATTAAGAAGCGTGATAGGAAACAACTTACATTTTAAAGACTGTGTTTTTAATTTCTGTTGTGAATGTTTTTATTAATTGTTTTAAGTAACTTATAAGTGTGTAAGTGTGCTGGAATTATAAGAATGGAGTATATTAAGTGCGCTTGTTTCTGATGTAAGTCCTGAGAATGAAATAAACTCTCAATATCTCACAGCCTATTAAATTTCAAAATAAAATAATTTTCCTTTCTTAACATTTTAAAATAAATATACATTTAAAATTATAATCTAGAATAAATAAAAATAATACTTTCTTTTAATATTTAACCAATATTTAAGCATAAAGCGAAGAGCACATGCAATCACTAAATTTCATGACTTGATAACTATTTATTTATAAATATTAATTGTCGTGAAAAAAATTTCAACAGTATTCTGTAAACTTTTTTTTTTGAAAATTACATTTGTAAATTCACTTTTTCAAAAAAAACTTCAAAATTTCTTAAGTAGAATTCAATAATGTTTAAATTTTATTTTCCTTTGTAATCTTCTTTAGAATCTTCTTTTAAATTTTATGCCTATGTGTGTTTTTCACACAAATATTTACGATGTTGAAAGGAAAGCAAAATGCGTATTAGCTTGGTAAAATTCTTTCATTTTTTTTGTTAGGAAAATTCTACAGCATCATGAAAATCACGAAAATTGAGAACTAATTCTTAAAACAGTGGAGGAAAATCCTCCACCCCACCCCTTGATTAAAATAAAACTAATGATTTGGTTTATGAAGTCAAATTTAAATTTTTATTTTGAAATCATCACAACATGACAAATGACTTAGTATCAAAAATTACTATTCCAAATAAATTTCAAATGTTGATTTTGATTTGCATTTATTTATTAAATAAATTTGCTTAACATGTACTTTTAGCAAGCTTTTAAAGCTTGTTTAAAACACAATGTTAAGTTCAATTAAATGAAACCAATTTTTCTTAAAACTTTTATCAGTGAAATGTGGTATGAGTTTTCAAGCAATTAAGTCAGTATAATTTAAAGTAAAAAATTTTTCGAACTTGGTAATGTGCTATATGGTGCACACAAAAAGACTTTTACGCCAACAGACAAGTTTTTAATCACCACTAATTGATTAACGTGAGAGTTTATTGCATTTTCTAATTAGTATGTTCAAATCATTGTAAAAAATCACATGTATGACTGGATTATCATTTTTTTCATAATCATCTCATTTATTACTAGCAAATTTGTACAGTTTTTATTGAACTTTATGAAGCATTTCCCTAAGCAAAGTTTTTTATGAAATTGCTTTGAAGCTGTTAGAGTTGTGTGAAAATTTTACAATCATTAAAATAAAAAAAAATTTCTTTATTGTATCATTTTTTTGTAGTTTTTAGAGGACAAAATCAATGAATTTATTTATGTATTGTTTAAGACACAATATAGATTATAGATAACGGCCAACTCAACGAAAAAAGATTGAGTCTTAATTGTATACCTGCATGTAGCATCATCGTAAGTAAATCTTAGCATTTGTCGATTCAGAAGCCAATCAGTTTCAACACGCATACGTGACGTTGCTTACAAGTATCCAATTAAATCGGATTTAAATCACATGGGTATGTACATGCCTTCACTTCTTCTTGAGTTGCAAGCACTCATTTAATATTTTGGCAAACATGTTTACATACGCCCATATTTTCCCACATTTTTTTTATGTTTATGTCACGAATAATAAGATTTGAAAGTTTGAAGTGGTGTCGATGACAGATATAAAATTCTTGTAGCTTGCGACATATTTCTATACTTTTCCTTGACTCTATAAATTCTTAAGTCTTGAACCACCGAATTCTGGACACTGATCTGAAATCGCCATTGGGTAAATTTCACCATCATAAAAAAACAGGTGCCATCCCAGAGAAAATTATATTTCAATGGATGAATACTGTTAAAAATAAAATCTGTAAAAGTTTTTAGAGATTTTTTTATCATTGTAACTTCAATTTAATAATACTAGTTGGCTGCTCCCCCAGCTCGCTGACGCTCGTTAAACCCCGAAAATTGCTACGCAATCTTATATGGTTTGCTTCGCTTGCTACTAACTTAGGTGCATTACAAATACACAAAATTCTAAGAATTCAAAACAATCATTCACATCCATATAAAAACATTTTTAAAAAAAAAATTGCATTTTTTTTAGTAAATACTAAGTCATTAAAATAAATTTGAATTCAAATAAATGACATGTAATTGCTTACGAGTGAACNAAATTCGTGATATAAATCAAAAATCGTCAAATAAATTCGTAATATATAAATTCGTGAAAAAAAAGCGCTTTCGACAAAATACTAAAATAGAGATTTATCGACAAAGACTACTCACTTCTGCCTAGCTTAATAGTATGAGATTGCCGCAGCTGATAATGCTTTCTCTGGTTATTTCAGTTTCCGTTTTGAAAAGCGCTATATGTTGAGCCACCTCAGCTAGATTAGGCATGTGACATTTTTAGCGGCAATCATTGGTCGATTTTCTAGCGTTGCCATTCGGGGAGTTGTAATGAGGCTTTTTTTTGTCGCCGTGTAAGAGAAATATATATATTTTACGGATTATTCTTTCGCAACAGCGCAAGTCATAGGAAATTTGGCCAGATGCTACATTTTTCACAGACTCTACTCTTTCAAAAATTGAAAGTTTTGAACGATTCAATAATTTAAATATTAATAATATAAGAAATTTTCTTTGAAGCACTATTCAAAATAAATTATACACATGACAAATTTTTATTTCTTGAACGAAGAAAAGTTTTTATAAACAAGGGTGAAATTAAATAATTATTAGAATATTGAATCCACATTAATAAAAATAATAAGAAAATGGAAGCAAGTTAAGGCATTTTCGATGAAAAAAGCAGTGATAAGTTTGAAACTGGCAGACAATTTTTAAACGCCATTTAGTCGGCTTTTGGAGATCGTTAATTCTGTCCACAACACTTGCACCTTTGTTTTGATATGTGAAGTTCCATCAATAGCTAGACATTATTATTGTCCGGTAGGTGGTATCCGTCATAATGTACGAGCTATTAGCTATAATCCAAAATTGTAAGCAAAACTACGAGTCACAGATAGAGCATAGCCCAAAGCACGGAAAACTTAACGACCCAGCTTAAGAAAATTGACAAAAATAATATTGCATCCCTACCCAGTACCCAATACCGTTTCAACTCGTGTTAAGCATAAAAAAACCTCACATTTTTCTGTATATTGGGTTAAAAACTACAAGAATTTAAAATTCTTTCTTTATATATTTTTACGTTTTGTGGTATTTGTCATAAAGTGAGAGTAACAACTATGATTAAAACTAGAAATCAGAACTCTGAAAATTTAAAAAAGGAAAGGGAAAAAAATGCATAGAAAAGAGGAAGAAACATTATTTTAATAGAAAAAGAGGGGAAAAAAACATTTGATGAATAGAAAAGAAGAAAATAAGTATTTTATGAATGTTCTTTTTTTATTAGTTAATAATTATCAAAATATTTTTTTCTTTATTTAGATGCATAGTTGTTTTAATCTGTGCATTTTTCATACCAAAAGTAATGTTTAAAAAATCAAAAGAACAGCAATTTATGTAAATGCAAATTTAAGTTTATGTTTCATAAGAAAAATTCCTTGCTTTTCTCTTCAATATGTGACAATTTTGAAATTAGAGATATCTTTGATATAAATATTACTTTTTGATAGAAATATCAATTAAATTTGCGGAAAAAAATTTGATTTTATAATAATTTAAAAAAAGTTATTAATGATATTTAATTAAAATGATAAAAATTGGTACAGATTCATTTTTTTAAAAAGAAATGAATACAGGATGGTAACCTTTCCTAAAAACTTTATTGTTGACATTTACATGAAAATATAAAATTATTTTAACTCCTTCCTTCTCACTCCTGTCAAAATTAAGGAGTGAAGTTTCGCCTCCTATTTCTCGTGCTCGTGATATTTCCAGGCTTGGTATTCAGAATTAATGTGTTAAAATGATTCAAACAATCTCCTCTCTGCTAATCCGGAAGTACAAACTTTTAAAATATTTAAAGCTGTAGAGAGAAAATGATTTAAGGAAAAACCCAATTTGTTTTAATTTGCCAACTTATAAAATCTTTTCAGAACCTAATAGGTTTTATAAAGTATGTTTGTATGTAGTGGTGAAAAATATCATTCCAAATTTAATTTTCGAAGACAATAATAAAACGTTAAATTATAAAGTTTACTGCCACAATCATTCTGAACATTCAAATAAAAGGTTCCTATAAAGCCCATCTTTTTAGAATCACCCTGTATATACAGGGTGATTCTAAAAAGATGGGGAAAATTTTAGGAAGTGATAGTACACACCCAAGCAAACAATTTTTATCAAAGAATGCATGGTCAAAAATAAAAAGCAAAGGTGCTGGAGCATTTGGAAAGTTGTTTGATGCAAACGTGAAAGCTCCATTCCTGTTGCGAGTTACTGCGCTGCATTACTTGTCGCCAAGCTTTCGGCCGCTGCAGGGAAAGTTCGTGATATGCCTGGTGTGTTTCAGAATGTCCGGGCAACTGTTTTGAACACTTATTGTAATCACATGCCATTAAATTTGCTTTTATAACTAACTTCATCGTTCTTTGTGTGTTTTTGCCTCATATAAGAACATAAACTTTGAAGCCCTCTAGCGGTTTTGCGTTTTGTTTTCGACCATGCATTCTTTGATAAAAATTACTTGCTTAGGTGTGTACTATCATTTCCTAAAATTTTGCCCATCTTTTTAGAATCACCCTGTATATCTGAAATAAAAATTTGAAAGTTAAATTTAAAAAAAATTTTTTAACATATTTTTCATTACTTTGTACTCTGGTCGGTCCAAAAAGTAAATTATAATGCTTAGAATGATTATGAATACTTAATTTGGGCTATATTAAAACTGCCTACATATATTTTAGTTAAATATTTAATTTTTTACTCTTAGCCAAAGATCATGGTCTTCTGGCCCACAGTGAAATGGCTCAAAACGTCAATAATTGTGAAAATGAAAAGAGTTTGTCTAAATTTTTAATATTCAAAAACTTACTTCAACGCTATATTACTTGAGCTCATAAAAAATTTCAAGCACTAAGAATAAGGCAGTGATTTTGATAATTTTCATCTAGGTGTAAAAATGTCGCCAAATTGGCAATTTTTAAAAAGTTTAATGACTTCTAAAATATTTAAGATATTTGTTTTTTCTGAAACCAAGATAATTCTTCACGGCAAGTTTATGCATATAGCTTAAAATCATCACATTGCTTCAAGTGTAAGGCACTTAAACTATGGCTTTTTTTCCCCTTGGCGACAGAGCTTCGAAAAACACCGTTAAATATTTTGAAATAAAAAAAATATTTTTGGAAATTTAAAACACAATTTTAAACATTTATGTTTTAAAAACCGGAACATGAGTATCAACTGAATTCCATCTCTGAATTAACGATTTTGATTGAATGCTCGTTTCAAAGTATAAGTATTAATGTAGTGAAATAGGAAGTACAGCTACTGATTAGAAAAAGGAAGTCAGCATATGACAGAATTCATGCAACTCTTAAAAGCAGGACTGTTATGCTTCTTTCAGAATGTTTCAAGGGAAAGGAAGAAACTCATACTGAGTATTATAAAGGGTAAAGAATTTATATATAATTTATTAAGGAATTAAATTCTCGATTTTTTTAAAAATTATGATCAAAATATATTTGAGTTTTAAAGTTTTAAGCTTATACATTTTTAAACACATTTTTAAATAGTTCATTTCACCGGTATGTGAGACGAAAAAAAAAAGGAAATTAATGCAAACAAAAATATTTATTTAGGTTTTAAAGTAATTGGGGATAAAGTGGTGATTTTTCTTTTGTTTCTAGGATTTAAATAATTTTTGAAGAAATTAAATATTTCCAATTTAAGGACCAATAACATACTGTCTGACAAAATCTTTATTGTAAGCATTTAGTTGCATATACAAAAAAGGATAATTTATCATACATTGATTAAGTTTTTATCTTTTTTAAAAGGAAAAAATTTTTTCATACGAGTAAGGGAAGCATTTCATCTGTAAAATCACGCAAATGTACATTGTGGCGGGAAAAAAAAACGGATTACTTTAAATAACTTTTGATCTAATGATCGGATCTTTATGTTTTAGGATTCAATATGGATAATTCGAAGGGATGACCTCAAATATGCTAATTAATTATTGCAGATGATAATTTAAGTTACGAAATTCGACGCAAAAACATACTTTCTCGAAATAAATGTAACTTTTTTAGACAGACTCGGATTTCTGCCCCCAAAATATAGGAGGTAGCCGCAATCTGGGAAATATGATTCCCAAAGTTTGATCAGAAGAGTGATCCAAAGTTTGGTACCCCTTAATGTTAATTTTCTTTTTTGCGTGTTTCGTCATACCTTAAGAATGTTGTAAGAGAACTGAAAAAAATTTGCTCAAAATTATAAAATTCGTTTATCTAAGGATAATTCCATGTAAAAAGAAAACAACTTTTCGTAAATAGTTATTATTTTTATTATTTTACTTAAGAAAATTTTGATCAAAAAAGGTTTAGAATTGTAAGGTATAGATTTTTACCACCATTTCAATAAATTTAATTTTATATGGCAAAATACAAAATTTGAGCGAAATCGGTCGAATAGTTCTGGTCAGATACTTAAAATTCGATTTCTCAGCAAATACTCGACCAATTTGGCTCAAATTTAGTATTATGCCATATAAAATTACGTTCTTTAAAATGATGCGAAGAATTGTATGCTTTACAGTTCAAAATTTTTTTCTCCATTCTTAAATGAAGTAATAAAAAATAATAAACATTCACTAAGAGTTACTTCTTGCATGGAATTCTTCTTGGATAAAAGAATTTTATAATTGTGAGCAAAATTTTTTCAATTCGCTTAAAAAATTCTCGTGATATAGCAAAATACGCAAAAAGTAAAATTAACATTAAGAGGTCCAAACTTTGACGCGGTTTCCTGACCAAACTAGTGGGTCCATATCTCTCAGATTTCGGCTATCCCTTATATTTTGGGGGTCTGAAATTCGAATCCGTCAGAAAAAAAGTTATGTTTATTCAGAGAAAGTACGTTTTCGTGTCTGATTTCTTAAAATATCGTCTGCACTTATTGATTTAAAGTCACTCCCCCGCGATAAATAATTGCTCTAATTGCGTTATCTCAGTATATAAAATAGTGTTAACTAAAAAAAGAATGAAGGTTAAAATTTTTCACTTTTTAATTTGGTATTGTAATGAACTTGAATTGATTTCTAGTCTTCTTTCTTTTACGTTAGGAAAATTATTTTAAAATAATAATGATGTTATAACTATACCGCAATAATGAAAACATTGTTCTGTCTTTTGTGAGTAAAATTTTAGAATTGCACAAGTAAAGAGGATTGAAAAAAACAAAAAAAAAAANAAGAAAAAAAAAAAAAAAAAAAAAAACAAATGCAATTTATATTATAATATGATAAAAAATTATGATTCTAAGAGAAGTAATTAAAATGTCTTCCAGGAACAGAAATCCTAAAATTAAAAAACACATTGTGGTGTTGCCATCTAGTGTTATTTCTAGATAACAAAATGTGAATGCTGTCAATGAGGTGAGAAGAAAAAAAATTCTAAAAGGAAACAGTTATTCAAAAATCAGTGTACTAGTTATTCACTTGTAATAGAAAATTCTAAATTGTTGAAGGAAATTAAGGTTAGCAATACATTTTCAAGGTCGGCATCAGCCTTAAGTCTGTAGCTATGAAATGGAGAGGCTTAATTTCTAGATAAATGAATAAAAATCCCTAAAAGTTCAAACAGTACGAACTACGCATGCAAAATTACGAGGTTATGGAGAAAAATAAAACATTAAATTTATTACATGTCTTATTCCTGATATAATCTTCATATTGTCTCGTAATTGGTCTTAGCTGGACGTTGATGCATCACCATAAGAAATATGCAGGGGTGGGTGAACACCAAGAGGTGTCAAAATTTCAAATTTGTTATTATATATATTGTTTTTTCTCGTCCTTTTACTTTTTTGCGACGTTGAAAAAATTTCTTTAGCTCTTAATAAATTACATTCCTGGTTGCATCCCTTTCCCAGTAGAAAAGGTTATTTATCTTACACATGCCAGTTACTGTGGCATGTGTAAGCATGCTAATAGACCTTTTCACTGGGACGTTGTGAAAAAGATTTTACCATTGAAATCTTAACTGATATTGCTATTAGGTTAAAGTCAATGAATTAAGGTTTCTAGTTTCAAGATGGACAGTGAAAACTATAGTAAAACAGCCATATAGTCAGTGGCTTAGTTTTAAGGACAAAACCACCTCCGAATACATTACTTGAAAGTAGGTTACAGTCATAAAAAGTTTTCATTATTTATTTTCTTGGAATTTAGAATATATATATATATATATATATCTATATANTTTTTTTTATTGCTTAAGGAATTTTTCTTACAGTTCCTATAATCATTACTACTGCAAAACGTTAATTTTCAAAACTGAAACCAATAAAAACATATTAATAATGACTTATGCTCGCCTTACATCTTTGGCACTCATTTCTGTTGAGAATGATGTATCAACATTCTTAGATTTTTCTGTTTTAATAGATGGCACTCTTTGCATCAAAGAAAAATAATCTCATTTAATCAAAAATTTACGAACTTCATGAAATTAATTAAAAGCAACTTTATATAAAGATTTTTAAACATTAAATACTGGAAAAGCATTCTATGTATATATTTCTCTTACACGGCTACAAAAAAAAGCCTCATTACAACTTCCCGAATGGCAACGCTAAGAAATCGACCAATGATTGCAGCTAAAAATTTCACATGCCAAATCTAGCTGAGGTGGCTCAACATATAACGCTTTTAAAAACGGAGACTGAAATAACCTGAGAGAGCATTATCAGCTGCGGCAATCTCATACTATTAAGCAAGGCGGAAGTGAGTAGTCTTTGTCGATAGATCTCTATTTTAGTATTTTGTCGAGAGCGCTTTTTTTCACGAATTTATATATTACGAATTTATTTGGCGATTTTTGATTTATATCACGAATTTATTTGTTTTATTATTGTTATAGTTATTCATTGAAAAATGAGTCTCAGTCGCGCTGTTACGCTTTAAGATTTTATACTATAGCACATTTCTAATAGGTTTAACGAATTACATGTCATTTATTTGAATTCAAATTTATTTTAATGACTTAGTATTTAGTAAAAAAATGTAATTAAAAAAAAAAAAGAGTTGTTATATGGATGTGAATGATTGTTTTGAATTCTTAGAATTTTGTGCATTTGCAACGTACCTAAGTTAGTAGCGAGCGAAGCAAACCATATAAGATTGTGTAGCAATTTTCGGGGGTTGGCGAGCGCTAGCGAGCAGGGGGCGCAGCCCACTAGTTTAAATATTTATTTTGCTTACTTAGCTTTTCGGCTACGTCAAAAATTTTAAATACTATAAACATTTCTGAAGTTACAATTTTTTTAACAGAACTATTCTTATATTTTTAGTGAGTCAGTTTATAGACGATTCCAGAAATTACAACTATTATATTTGAAAGCTCACTTGCGCTTTCGAATGTGATTAGTATAATCGGCACTTCTGTCAGAGAGAAAGAAATTGTTTTCAGTACCGAGCAGAAATTCTTGTTTCACTTCCGAACGTTGTTGTTGACGTATGCCATTAAGACAGCGGAGGTGCGATTGTTCTTGTTTCCAATGGCGCCATCTATGGTCAAGAATTCGACTTCTGTCTCACCCGTTTATAGGGCTGACCAATTAATGCATTCATCCACAGATCGTAATTTTGACCTGAATCAGAGAACGATCTCCAATCCAGTACCCCAAGAAGTATTGATTTTTTATGGGAGCATGGAGGACTTTGAGACTCGACAGATTTAACGTGCATCAGTCACCATTTACTACACGGGGAGTCTTTGGCCAGCAAGGGTCGAACCCACGACCACTTGGACATGGGCCCAGTGCCCTACCAACCAGACTATCCCGACCTCACTTCCTAATAAATAAATTAATTAATTAAAAGAAAGAATGGAAAGGAAATAAAATTGCTTAGAACAAGTTTCACTTCGAAATCACCAGAATTACTTAATAACTTTAACATCTCATGAGATACTGCAGATTTTAACCCAGATATTATATATATCTTATATATTTTTTTTTTATTGAAAACAAAATTATGTTTGAAATTATCGCCTCACATAATAAGCTATGATAAGCATCTGTAAACTTTCTAACCGGACGTCGCGAAAGTATTGCTTCGGCTTCGATGCTGTCTGCTGCTATGGTTGCAAGCGAGAGCACATTTCTAATGGAGGTTCAATGGCGGACAGAAGGTGTTGATTGGGTTAATCACACTAACTTTTAAAAAGATCATGACAAAACTATTCACTCTACACCCCTGTTTGAAGTAACTTTTCCTCGTACCAGCCACGACGCAATACTGAAGTCTGGAGAAGTTCTGAAAGTCGCACTATAAAGAGTTCGAAATTTGTTTTTGCTTACATTTATATTGAAACCACCATCAAAAACTAATTACATTCGGAAAGCATCATAAAAAAATGATTTTGATATTTTTTTTTATTTTATTTCCTTTCTTACTACAAGCTAAGTATGAAATTAAATACAGAATATTCATAATTAACACATCCTATGAAATCAGCAGATACAATTTTTAATATCATTCGTTCTCGTGGTCATCATATACTAATGAAAATCGTACTACTCAACAAAGATTACTTCACTTCCAAGGAATTTGATGTAGTTTCTAAACGTGCATTAATTCCCCTTGGTGGCCTTTATTAATCTGAAGTACCCATTCTGCGAAGTCGTCTGTTTTGTCAAGCGTATTTGCAGTTTTAAAAGTTGACCATTCAACACTTCTCGCTACTCAAACAGTTTTTAAATAATTTTATTTCTTACCGTCAAAAAATTTTTAAATTATTAAATAAAATGCAAAATATTCATAAATTTATAATTTAATTACACAATCAGCAAATAAAGTTTAAAATTTTGCTATATCATTCACACACGTGCTCATCAGCCACTAAAGAAAGCAATGCTTTTCTACATGAGGATGCTGTCTCTGAATAAAAAGCTGCCTCCTTCAGGCTTGCAGATTCCTCCTTTTTGCGCAACTGTGCATCTTTTCTTTCTGCTTTACCCCTCTTCGAAAATTCACGTGACATCTGGTCAAATGTTCTAGCAAATTCTAAGCAATGACCTTTCTCAAATTCGTCAAGTGATTCGGACATCCTTTTATAATATTTTACTGATGACTTCTTATATTTTATAGATTGATTTTCGTGAATAACAGCCAGCAACATCCAAGATCGCGAATGTATCGAAGCGATTCTTGCTTTGAACTTGCTGTCACTTGCTTTTTCTCTGAAGTTAGCGTATTCCTCACAAAATGTTCTTCCTTCTTCGCAATTACAATGCTTCACCTGTAATATTTCAGAAAAACAAAGATAATCGATTTAGGTGTCATGAAAAATGTCAATCACTTTTAGAATACATACAGCGCTGGAAAAAGAAGACAAATCTTACTGAATTACTTTTGGTTTAATGATCGAATGTTCGCGTATTCAACTTGATGGTTCAAAACTTAATGCGAAAATAAAGGATTCAAACTTAATGGTTTACGGTGTAGACTAACTCAAATATGCTAATTAATTCAGAGACTATATTGTTTACAGTTCATACTCGAAGAGCCTGTCGCCTGCTTACTTCACTCACCACCCTTGGTTGCTACGATCATTTTTGGTTTCTTCCCAATAAATAGATGATTACATATAAGGTAAAAAGCATTCATTTGAAAATTACTCATGTTTTACAGTATAAAAGTTGAATAAAAAGAATACTTCTATTGGAAATCAAAATAAATCGCTTTAGGCATTGAACACAAGTACCATCGTTTCGGTTGCAGAATTATACCTTTTTGCTGTAGAAAGATAGTGGTTGGTTTTGGGTTTGCACAGCTTCCTTCACTTCGTCGTCCGAATGTAATAGTGTCCCTTGAAATGCTCTCTTAAATGACCCAAAGATGTGGAATTCGCAAGGTGACTAATCTGGAAGGTGTGGTGGGTATTCCAACACTTCCCCTTGGAAATTTTACAAGGTTGTGTGGGTTTCGTGAAAAACGTGCTTGCGGGCATTGTTACGGAGAAAAATCTCTTGTGGGAAAGGGTCTAGCCGTTTGCTTTTGATTTTGTTTCTGTAGTTTCGTCAGAGTACAGCACCGTATTGCGCACACCTTCCGTTATCAAAAACCGTTCTAATCTGGATGTATCCATGTATAGCTCTTCACTTTTGATTAATTTCATCAACCTCGAACAGATTTTACCTTTGAACCCCTTATGCAACTCATACTTCCTACCGCCCTTTTTAACCCTGTTCGGTGGCACTTCTGCAGTTTTTCTGACGCAAACGCACATGTCTACTTTTCATTTCGGCAACCCTAATATTATTCGGTAGGCAACTAAATTTCTATTTCTACTGTTTTTTTTTATATATTTTTTAAAATTTTAATATTTTGCAAGTCATTAAACGTTTTTGGCATAATTCCATAAGATCATTCAAAGTATAGCGCTTTGTCCAACAGGAATCAATGCTTAGTTTTTTGTTCAAGTTAATTTATGCTTGTCTTCAGGACATTATGTAATGCCATGTTAAGAAAAATGAGCGTTATCGGCACCTCGTTTATTTAGCTTTGAATCAAGGTTTCATAACAGCAAAAAGTTTTCTTTCCAATGAGCTGCACAATCGGTCATGCCGATGAGCAGACCTAGTGCGTTCTCCAGAGGTGGTATCCACTCTTTCAGGACCACCACAATGGGTGAGATACCGTTGGTCATGTTAATTTGGATGTCTAGTTTCTGCCACACTAGATGGCAGCACCGAGACTCTATTTGAATGCTAAAGTGCACTAGGATTTTAATTTTGCAGGAAATGCCAAGAGCCAATAAGGCACTCCAAGGATCTTTTACATGCCGCATAATCATACGACATGGCCGCTGAGGATTTTTTGCATCCCGAAAATCCGGTGTCTGGGCCGGGGATCGAACCCGCAGACTTGGGCTCAGAAGGCCGACGACAAACCAACTGCGCCACTAACAGCAAAAAGTTGCTCGTGACATTTGTGCTGAGTATTGAGAGGATTCGATAGCTTCTTGAACTCAAAGATGCACCTCATACTAGCTGCCCAGATGAGTTTGATGGAGAATGATTAAGCAAAATTTTTCACCGAAATTCACACCAAGCAACAAGAGACATGGCAGCAGAAAAAAAAAATTATATATATATATATAGGGGAGAGGGGGGCACTTGTGAACAGGGGGCACATGTGAACATGGTATGTTTTACCAATATGATTTGAAATAAAAAATCTTGAAAAATTTTCAATTGATGGCAGTACTAGTCTTACCTCTCTGCGGAACTTTCAGTACAATGAGACATTTTGTTGTTCTATTCTGACAATTTCTTTGTATCAGTTGGTGTTGTATATATTATAATCACTAGCTTCTTCAAGTGAAAGCATAGTATAAATCAACTAATAAACTGAAATTAACTATTGCAGACCATTATATGAACATTCAGGTAAGTTTATGACAATTAAATTTTTTTTTTACTCAATTAAAAGTTCTTTATTTTTCAATTAAGGTTTAAGAAGGATGATGGGGCACTTGTGAACAAATCATCTGGGGCAGATGTGAACAGTTCACATGTGCCCCTACATAGTATTAAGATTATTATCCTCATGATATTATAAGTTTAAAAACTATGTATGCATTTAAAATTATTATTATTTCATTTTCCATAATTAATTTATTAATTTTTTCTTTAAAATGTTTTTATTTTTTATTAAATGGTTGATCGCGCATCACGCATATTAACTGATACACCTGAGAAAATAGAATTGTTAAAGCTACAAATGAAAAGATAGAAAAAATGAAAAAAAAGCATGAAAGAGTATTAGAGAAGAAAGAAAAAGGCCCATTACAACACCCGTGGAACATGAAGTTGCGAAAAACCCAATTACGGATAAATTATTGTACAGCTGAAAAATTATTTTCTTATTGACAGTACTGTTGTACAATTTAAATTCACATAGTAAGCTACAACCCCCTCAGTATAATGCGTATCTATA